AAAATATTAGACTACATGTGCTAAAAGTACGTCAATTTTATATGAGCAACGATATAATAACATACTTGTGATTTCAGGCTGTTTAGAATTCGACAAATGATACAGTCCTCCATGCTCTGCATTGCGAGAGTCAATATCTGAACTGAAGCCTTCAGCTCCAACATCTCTTTTTCATGCCTGCACATGACCCGTCGTAGCTCACGTATCGTGACAACTCCGGCATTGACTCTTCTCGCATGGGTGAACTGCAAGACCATATACTGTTATTACTGTGTTATTCAATAAATATCGTTGAACATTGACTGTTACACTTTTAATTTTCTTACCAAAAGGTCATTCCGACTGTGCGGTTGGGCTGAACCGCTCGATTGTTCAGGACTTGTCGTTGCCTCTGTCAATTGCAATAACAGATATAACTCTGTTACTCGCTAAACATATATAGAAATGGTGAACTCAAACTGTTAGAACTGATCTTACCGACGGCTCGTTAGCACTGTGCATCTGAAGAGGACCTCTCGGTGGTTGTGGAGCTGTCGTTGCTTTAACCACCTGCGAACACAAAGGGTTAGTCGATAATCACCTATCGGATTGTTGAACAAATATCGGTAGAACCATCCTTACCGGCTGTTCACTGCCATTGCCATGGTCGCCCCTTTCCTCCATAAACTTAGCGCCCGACAGCTTATCAACTCCAACAACGGCGGTGCGCCTCTGCTTCACGCCACTAGTGGATCTTTTCTGCTTCAAGTTCCTTCTCTTTTCCTTCGCACCTAAGCCTTAGTTCGATTGATCTTCCAATTGTCAGATTGGCACGTATTGGTGGCCCTCAGATAATGGCACATCGATGTCAACAAAATAGTCCCGTCTGGCCTCCTCCGGGGTCAGTTCCAATGTCTAGACAGCCCAAAACTGCAAAATATGAGTTTTCATTAAATTTTATAGAAAATGAGTTTACAAATTCACAACAGAAATTAGTTGTTGTTCACTCACCTGCTCAGATGACTCCAACTGTTGAATTGTCTTATAAAAGTCTTTTGGCTTCTGATTGCACTACCATTTGCACATTCGTGGGTAAATGTTCTCCTTCGGACCAGATGGGGCAACTATTTGTCGCAAGGTAAGGATTGCCTCCATTGCCCAGAACTGCATGTCAAAAGTAACCATTATCAAACCATAAATGCTGAACGAGTGCAACCACGTCAAAAGGAAAATGTTAAATGTTACGTGACAGTACCTGAATAACCCACACAAATTCGTAAATGTTGTATCGTAAACGAGTATCCTTCTGCAAGCTTGTGGCAGGGACTTCGAACCCCTTCAAAAGCTAATCCAACATCAGCCTCCAAACATAGTGACCCCATAAGAAGGCATTCCAACCATCAATATCCTCCACTAATGAGAAAAGCTAAGGTGTCACCCGTCTACGGTAATCTTGACTAAATAAAATGTTATTCGCGATCAAGATTAGTGCCATCTTCATTGTATCTCCTGGTCACTAGAAGTTGCCATCGCAGAACGTTTGAAGCAACCATTGTAGCTTAATGCTCTCCTGGCCGTTCCAGTATCTAACATGGATTCCGT